AAATTTGAAAAATAAACTCCAGAAATTTCAAAATCGCGCAGCCCGAATCATTGTCGGTGCAAGTTATGAGATTAGATCTGCTGATGTTCTTCAATCTCTTGCTTGGAACAATTTAGAGACAAGACGACGTACAACCAAAGCAATATTAATGTTTAAAGTCTTGAAGGATTACGTAGGACCTACGTTGAAAGAATCCTTGATAAGACGCAATCATATACAAACAAATTATGATCTTAGAAATAGTCATACAGATTTGGCTCTTCCTAAGCCTAAAAGAGAATTCCTAAAAAAGAGTTTTAAATACAGTGGGGCTAAGCTATGGAATAGTCTCTCTATCGATACGAAACTGGCAGAATCAATGCACCTGTTCAAAATCCATTTAAAACTTAACTCTAATACTATATATATTTGAAATAAATTGTAACTCCGTCTAACCATAACATCTGGGGTCACACCAATTTGTAAATAGTCTTCTTTTCCCTTATATCTTTTGTAATTTTTAACATTGTAGACGCCCCCCGTGGAAACCAACGCACCGTTGACAGGGCTAGTGTCTCTAAATAAAGTTTTAATACAATACAATACAATCCCTGTCGCAACTAGTAACAACACTATAATCACACCGGAACGAAACACTATACCAGTAAGAATTACATCTTACCATGAATTCGAAGGTCAGCAGTCTAGCGCTCCGTGGTATAATGAACATATTCCTAATACTAGCAAACGAAACCGTAGCGGAACGCGTAATCTAATTGAAATTCCAATCAAGAATCCATCCCTATATCAAAGCACGTCTCTATATCAAAGCCCAAAGTGCGCCCAAAGTAATTTACTGACATTCCTTCTCTCAAATACAAGATCACTTTTACCAAAGGTGGATGAATTAAAAATTTTACTTGACCAATATGATGTGAGTATGGCCTTCATAACCGAAAAATGGTTAAATGAGAAAATCGACGATGCAGCAGTTTGTATTCGCGGGTATTCAATAGCAAGATGTGATCGAATTGATAAACTTGGCGGTGGAGTTTGTGCTTTTATTAAATCAGGCATCCCGTTCAAAATTCTAACAGAATTTAATGACATCAATTTTGAAACCTTATGGGTCTATGTACGACCTTATAAACTTAATCGAGGCTTCTCGTGTTTGATCGTCTGTGTGGCCTATAAACCTCCATCCAGCGACAACGCCGCGTTTATAGATCACCTCAGCTCTGTTGGAGATTGTCAATATTTAATATTTAACAGTTTATGGCATACCTGAAGTTAATTAATGCGCAAGTGTCAATCAAAAAGCATGCGGTTTGTACATTGCAAGATTTTGTGTGATTGTGTTGAGACGGGGCGAGAATAAATATATTTTTCATAATAGCGTTTGAAATCTCTACTTTTAGTGAGTTGTTGTGAATAGTGTGTTTTCACGCAAACCGCTGTGACGTCACTAGAATTTAGCGTCCGCCATGTTGGTGGAGTAAAACGCGTCACGTGCGAGGAATTTACTAGTGTTTACTTATAGCTGTGCCAAATCTGTTCGAAATATTCCTCAATATGCCGGCTTTTTGTGTAGTTTTAAACTGTTCAAATGACAAATCTAAACGTAAAGATCTTTCTTTCTGCCGGGTGCCGAAAGTTATTAAAAATCAAGGCGAG